CCAGGTAATACAGTTTAGGCAGCCCTTTACACTTAACTTCTGCGAAGGACAAATTAAATTACTCATCATCTGTGTCCATAACCACCTTTTTACTTTTTCCTTAACTTGATTGTAAACCCATAAGAGCATATATCTGAGGCTAATGTTAATTTAAAAATGTAAACTATCAATTTTATGAAAAAATTTCTGAAGTGCTATTGGTGTTGTTTTATTACTTATTTCTACAAGTTTAAAGTTTTTTGAGCGAATGTAATTAGTTTGACTGCACATGCAGGTATCTTAAGAAACTAATATCATTTTCTGTTAATTTTGTAGGTTGCTGGACATAGGGCTCTTCTGGAAGGAGATCCTTATTTGAGGCAGAGACTCCTTCTCCGTGACTCTTACATCACCACACTTAATGTGTGCCAAGCCTATACACTGAAGCAGATTCGAGATCCGAACTACCATGTGAAAGTAAGGCCACACTTGTCAAAGGAGTACATGGAAACAACAAGCAAGCCAGCGGCAGAGCTCGTAAAGCTTAATCCAACTAGCGAGTATGCTCCTGGACTAGAAGACACACTTATTTTGACTATGAAGGGTATTGCTGCTGGCATGCAGAATACCGGATGAAGTTTAGGTATCTTGTATTTCAGTAACTTATGTTGGAACATATGAAGTATTGTACGAAATGGATGCTCTCTGCTTATAAGCGCTCTAAACCCCTATCGAATAAAAACTTATGTACTAAGTTTAATAAAAATAGCGCTTTGGTTTGTGTGAACCGGAATTTTCATTCTCTATGGCTTTCATGTTGTGGAAATTTATTACTTGGGTTTTCTTTTTGCAACAGCAGCAGGGAACATTCAGTTATGATACAAACCATATGCTCATACTTTTGTGCTTCTCCATCTGTTCAAATTTTTGTTATTTGTATTCCCCTTTTGTTTTTCAAAAGAAAAATATATAAGGCTTTTTATCATGAATGGTCTTGAGGTTTGCAAAATTATCGCCTTTTGTCGTTAATTGTTTTTTGTAACACCAATAGTCATTAAGGTTACACTCTGCACATTAAAATGGAGAAAAGAAAAAACCAGAGTAATCACAAGCCAGCGCCATCCCCCTCCTCTTGAGCCCTGGCACCCCACACCCCCCTGCAGCACCTCCCTTCCGGCGCCCATCTCTTTTTCTCTGGACATTGAGATTTGCATTTTGAATTCTCCATCTTGGCATCTTGAAAAGGTGTTGTTGCCGCCCTTTTTTCTTTTCTTTCTTCTTGGTAATATTTTGCTGCCCAATTTTCATCTCTGCTGAAGTTGGGGTTGGGTAAGTTGAAAATGAAAGTGCCAACTCGAGCGACTCAACTCGCGATAATCTGGGTGAGGTGGAGTTTAGCTGTGTTGGAGAGGAGAGTGGCGGTGGCGGTGGCGGTGGGTGTGGGCTGGATCGGCTGGGGGTAAGTTGGAGGAAGGTAAGATGGGGGTTGGCTGGTGGTAGAACAGGCAGGTCTTTTGTGTTTGTTTTTTTGAAAAAAAAAATTTAAAATTTTAAGTTTTAATATTTATTTTAAAAAAAAGTTTAATTTTCTTTTTGTAGGGGACTTTTTCCTCCGGCAGCTGCAAATGGGCTGGGCTGCTGTAAAAGGGCAGACTGATGAAATTGTCCTCTTTGCTTGAGTTCGAAAATTAAGCCCCAAAATACCTCAAAAAGGCAGTAGAGACTTAGGAAGTATTTTGATTACCTTCACCAACCAAAATAATGGCAGCTTACAGGTAATTTCTTTATGCTTACAGATAAACTCTCATGCTCAGCGTGAGTGGCATGTGGCATAGGAGCAAAATCAACATGAGTTTAGCACTAAGAGAAAATTTAGGCTTGCTTTGAGGGAAAAGGAAGTGTTAGGGTAAGGAAGAAGAAGTTTTGTAAGAGATTTGGCTAGAAAAGGGAAAATGAAGAGCAGAGTTCTTCCGGCAGCTGCCCAAAGAGCAAAATGAAGAACAAGATGAACAGTGCACGAGATTGTTGGGTTTTTGTAAGTTAGAGAGAAAGCTTGCTCTCTAGGTCTGAGTTGTGGCTAATGGTGAAGTATTTGGTGGTTTAGGTAAGTTTCCAGCAGCCTGACAAAAGCTATGTCAGACTCTAGAATGACATGGCAGAATGGAAAGTGGGAGGAGATGGAGGAATATGGCACGAAATTGCAGAGATTTCATGGTGAGAGATGAAGCTTGCTCTCCAGATGTGGGTTCATTTCGTTGGGTTGAAGATGCCTCAATTTATAGCAGTTGGAAACCATCACTTCCCAAGAAACCCTAATGGCTTCCATCCCATTTTGTCAAGTCTTTCCCTTCCTTTCTCCCTTCATCCCTTCAATCATCCTTTTTTGGTGAAATCTTCTCTGCCTATTTGCCAAAATCAGGGATTTTTTGGAGCTCAATGCCCCCTTTCCCGCGGCTGTTTCAGACTCCTATTTTCAGCAATCTTTCTTCCTTCTTTTCTTTCCTCTTCCAAGGCTAGGTCTGATGAGGGAAGGAATTGAATATACATGCTGGTTCAAAGGGTGCTTCTGGTAGCTCGCAGGCTAATATTCTTTGGTACTTTGAATGTTTCTTGCTTGGTACCTGCTCCCTCCATGTGCTGGAACCTCCAGACCTCCCCTTCGTGGCTTTTGTTCCTCTAGCTAGGTGCTGGTGCCTTTATAGCCTATTATGGTAGTTGTATGGGCCAAGATGGTTTATCAAGCAAGTGGGCTATTTAAAACGTTTGGGTTTTTTAGTTGAGTCAATAGGCTATTTTGATTGGACTTATTTTTGGTTAGGTTATTTTGCTTGGGCTATTGGGCTACTTTTCTCTCTTGTGCTCACCCACATGTTTGGGCCTAAAAAATGGGCTTGAGTCTCGAGGCTCCTAAGCAACCCAAAACTTTCTATTTCTCGGCCCATCAATGGGCCTCATGTTGATTTATTACCATCCATACAACAACCCACTCAAGCAAGCCCCGGGCATTCGAGTGGCTTGAGCCCACTTAGGCTTGTAGCGTGGTTGGGTGTGATAATGATTTCCTACTTGGCATGGCATGTCGCTTGACATGGCATGTTGCTTGGCATGCTTTCAATTATTATGCTTGACGGGATAATTAGCATGGATTTGCGAAGATAATGCATTTTATAATCTTAATCTCGATTCCTAACATGACGAATTATTTATTTGGCATGGCGCATGTGGTGTGACTCGTATATGACGAGACTTCGTGTACTCAGATATGTGATTTTTCTTAATACAGTAGCGAATTGGATCGAAAACTTATTTGGGCCCAACCGTGGACTTTTTTGGGCCTCAATATTAGCTCGCTTGATTATTGGGGCCATGAATGTGTATTGAAATGGTCCGAATAATCAATTTTCAGCCCAAAATAAATTGCAGTGGCTTGGCATGACTTGAGTTTAAGAGCAGCTCAAGGATGACCAGTTAAGGGTCTCTGAAATTACAGCCAGATCTTTTCCAGGAAGGTTGGAGGGGTCGCAATGGTCCCGCTTAAAACCCAGTCCTTCTTAAACACCGAGGGTGTTGCCTTGAAGAATTTTCCTAAACACTGTAATTTTAGAGGTCACTTACTAAAGTTACCAAGAGTTGATCTATTTTGTGGCATGATATAGAAGAAAATGCTTGATGGATTAGCCCAATATAACTACTTAGCTTGCGTGATTTATTTGCTTGAGTGACTAGAGATGCTTGATTTTGCATGATTGTGGTTTGCAAGAGTTGCATTGACTTGTGTATCTAATATTAGTTATGTATGCTTGATTTTGGCTTGCATGATTGGCTTTGACTTGTATATTTGGTATTTGGCTTGATGCTTAGCATTGGCATGTATGCTTGATTTTGGCTTGATACTTGGCATTGGCGTGTATGCTTGATTTTGGCTTGTATGCTTGGATGCTTGACATTGGCATGTACTGGAAGGATATTTGAAATAAAGCATGTGCTGGCAAGGTGTTTGAAATAGGGCATGTGCTGGAAGGATGTTTGAAAACATGGCAGGTGCTGGAAGGATATTTGAAACAGGACAGGTGCTGGAATGTGCCAAATAATTAAACCCGACCCAAAAAATCAGATTTGTATTTGTAGAGAACTTCTCTTCTTTCCGCGTGCAAAATGACGGCGTGTCATAATTGGCCCTAGCGGTTATTTGCAGTTTCCCAACACCAAATGCCTTCTTCCTTTCTTTTTTATTATTTTCTTTCTTTATCTTCCCTTTTCTTGCACCAGACCCAACTTCTTCCTACTTTTCTTTTCTTCGTTTTCCCTTGTTCCCCCAGCTCAAAACTGAGTGAGGGAGTAAGATCAAGTAGAAAACATCTGCCTCCAGCCGCTGGGAAAAGAGCCCAAGTCGATTTCGACCCCTTCAGCCCTTCTCCCTTCGAAGAAGCCCTTCTACCGTTGCTGGAAGGAACCTTTTTGTGTGGGTTTTCCTCTATGATTCTCAATTTCGCTCCCTTCTTGGTATATTCAAAGTCACCCGTTGGGATTTTAGCAAGGTATGTCCCTTCTCTAGCTTTCTCTTGGATTTATTGAGGAATTTGCTGGGCCCTTTGTTTTGGTAGTCAAGCACCAAACCCTCTTTTGACCTATTTTGTTATTGCAGCAACGTGAGTGCTTACAACGTGGGTGCTAGCAAGGAAGGGCTCGCACTAATCTTCTGGGATTCCCTTTTCTTTGATTTGCTCGAGTTGCTGGAAGGGTGCCAATTTCCGTGAGAACAAAACTGTTGGTATGGGTTCTCCCTATTCCTCTTCTTACTTTAATCTTGCTCCGACCTCTTTTTTGTATATGAAAAGGCTGAACTTGGCATGATGTGCTTTATTTTCTGATTTTCTCTCATTCTCTTCTTTCTTCTTCTTCTTCAAGACTCAAACCCATGGGTATTGTGCATCAATACATAAGTCATATTTCGGAAGCTGGAATAAGAAAACTTCCTTGATCAAAGTTGTTCATCTGCTCGAGTACTATAGCCAGTAAAATTTGCAGAATTTTTTGAATTTTTCTGATACCTCAAAGCTGGTTTGCAACTTCTGCATTCATCCATGGCTGGTGAGTTTTTGCAGATTTTTCTTCTGCATGTGTCTTTAACTTATGATGCTCGTATGATTACGCTTGCTTCATAAAATTTGCTTGAAATTATGTTTTCTATAACATATCCAAAATTGAGGATCATCCACCCATTCTAGTGCTCTCTGCCTCCATTTTTCTAAAGCATGTTCATGAGTTGATGTTGATGCCTTTGTTGCATGCTTGTCTTCTATGCTTGAATGCTAGAGTTCCTCTGTATTTCCCAGAATTTGTGAACTAGAAATCGAATTCTAAGGTTGAGCTTTTGATTTAGGATTCTAGCTTGGTGATAAACAAGAGTTATACAAGCTCACTTGGGTATGCATGCCAAGTGTTTGTCAAAATATCTCAAAGTAGCTTGCTGGCTGCTTTTTGAACTTTTGAAATGTTTGTTTTTCGAATCTGAGTTGGAGCTTTTGAGACATAAAAATGGACTTCTCAGTGGTTATGTTGGAATTGGTCTTGCATCACTTGAAGAAAAAATGAATTTTCGGTGGAATTTCAAAGTAAGGGTTAAGGTGCTGGAACTGTACAGTTTCTGCTGCGTTGGCTGTCTTAGAAATCTGTTTGACATGCTTCCCTAGCTCGAAATGCAACGAAATTTTGGGAAAATGAAGCTTGATATGTCTAGTTCTAATCTGGAAAGTCTGGGATTTGTTGGTTGTAAGCTTGATTTATAGTGATTTTCTAAAGGTGGGATATTCTAGCTAGGATGGTTGGAAAGCTTGTGTATAAGTTTTGCTTGGCATGTTGCTTTTGCTTGGGAATTTAGCATGTCCTTTCTGTTGGCATTGAGTGCTGATCTAAGCATTTCTAGAGCATGTTCTTGAGCAATATTGTCGTGAGAGCATGAAGTGGAATGGTATTGTCGTAAGAGCATGAGTTCTTCAATTTGCTTAAAATGCCCGAATTGCTTGGAATGCTTGAATGAAATGAAATTTATTGGTATGTGGATTGGTATCACGCCTTGTGAATTTTGTCTAATGCTTGATAGATGAGTTTGCTTGCACTTTGAGAAATTTATGCTTCCAGTGCCTTCCTTTGTGTATAAGTACCTTTCCGGCGTATGATTTTGGCTAACGTAGTCTCTTGTTTAGAAGCTCCAAAGCATGATAAAGCATGAGAAGTCTAATTTTCTAGGATTTTGATAACATGAAAGTGAGTCTTGGCTGCTTGCGACTTGTCTTTGGAAAAAATTATGCTTCAATAATGATTATGCTTCCGGCAACCCCTTTTCGTTTACGAGTTCCCTTCCAGCGCCTAATCTGGTCAACGTACTCCCTTGTTTCTTTTTCATGCTTGATTGAGAGGTTCCAAAGCATGAGGAATGTAATTTTCTTACTGATTTGCTGGGAACTTGATAGAATAAAGGTGAGTTTTTGGTTACTTTCACGGATGTAATGAGTTTGTTGAATTGTTGCAAGGATAAATTGTGCTTTTGGGGTTAATGAGCATATACACTAGCATGATGTTTGAAATAAGACAGGGGCTAAGAAGATTTGAAATAAGGCAAGTTCCAGAAATTCTTTGCTTGTAGAGTAGGAGCTGGAAGAATGGAAGAAAATATGCTTCTGGCATCTTTGTTTGTTTTTTTGTTTTTGTTTTGTGTGTGTGTGTGTGTGTGTGTGTGTGTGTGTGTGTGCAAGTGCACACGTCTCAGGCATAGGTGGGGCAGGTGCTGGAAACCTTGACGTTTCTGCTGCTGGAACCTTCAAATCCTCCAGCCTTCTAACTTGGATATTTGGGGCTTCTGCTTTAATCTTTTGGCAAGTAACTCCGCCAATTTGAATGTTCCAGGAATAAGCATAGACTGGTGCATGGCCTAGGCTTACTCCCCTTGTGAACATATGCTTGATTAATTGTAGACTTTGTTCTCGGTTGCGAGAAGTAGGAATGCATGTCTTGCAATGCTTGATTTTTGTTCCGAAAGAGAATTTTCTTGTCATGCTTATTGACTCACAGGATGAGAACTTTGCTTGTCACGAACTTGGGTCAGAAATTGCATATTTGTTTGAACTATTTCTTTTCTTTTAGATCAAGAGCATCTCACAAGGGGCACAGGATACGCTTCCTTCCCCTCCCCTTGAGACACCTGATACAGCTGCCGGCACCTCTTCGCAGCTTCCCGCAGCACTGCCTCCAACTTCTCCTTGCATGGGCACACCCAACATAGCTGCCAGCACCTCTTCACAGTTTCCAGCAGTGCTGCCTCCAACTTCTCATTGCCTGGGCACACCCGACATAGTTGCTGACACCTCTCCACAGTTTCCAGTAGTGCTGCATCCTACTCCTCCTTTTCTAAGTATATCCGACACAACTGCCGGCACCTCTCCAAAGCTTCCAACAGTGCTGCCTCCTACTCCTCATTTCCTAAGCACATCTGACACAACTGCTGGCACCTATCCACTGCTTCCAACAATGCCGCCTCGTGGTGAGATTATTGATGACAGCCATAAGGATGGTGATGTTTCCACCTCCGTGGGGCATTTATCGGAGAAAAGCATGTCTTGGCAAGATTGGGACAATTCCTTCATGACGTTCAAAGCCTTCTTTCATGACGGTGTTACTCATAGCATGAAATCATCGCATGGTTCTGTATTCCTTTGAGACTATAGGATGCATGGATCTTTAGCATGTATAGTTTTATCGTGCTTTGACTGTAGTTTTTTTTTTCTTTTGACATTCTAACGACTACGTTGTTATGACTTTGTAATTTGGCATTGAACCACTGAAGCTTGTATTAATTTTTTGAATGTTGAAGGCAGGTTGTAATTTTCATGTCTCATATATATATATATATATATATATAGCTTGGTTGGCAAAATTCGTCTTTGTGAACTGTTTGAGATTTTCTGATATGTTAGATATCCTTAAAAACAAGGTATATGCTGCCAAAATTTCGACAGGAGCGGAATTTCTAAAGTTTCTTTTGCATGGTTTATCTAGCCTTTGGGTTTGAAAAGCAGCTTCTTACCTTCCTTAAAAAGGGCCAAACTAGCATGTGCATGATTCTTACCAAGGTTTTATAAAACTCCCAGATGTTGTTCCAGCACCTCAAGATTGCGTGCTTCTTTGGAATAGATCGGTTTCTCGTGCCTTATACTATTTTTTCTTAATCGTGATGCTTGTTGATGGTTCGGGACCCCATCCAAGTGACTTTGCTTGGCATGGTTACTGCTGAGAGGCTTAGCTTTTTAAAGGGAAGTTTGCTTGTCTATTTTCTTTTTCTTTTCAAAGAACATGTTTTGCAAAACAGAAGAAGATAAAAGTAAGGAAAGAATTCTAGAGGTTTTTTTTTTCTTTTTCCAAAATACTCCATTCTCATTGCAAATATCATTTTACACCTTGGCATGCAATAATGGTGGTGCATTCTACCAAAGTTGTGAAAGCATATGGTGAAAACACAAAAGGAGTTCATCTTTGAAATAAATTTGAAAAGCCAAAAACAAAAGGATAGGTGCAAAAGCAGCTCAGTAGTAAGGCTTTGAGCCATTTGCATTGATAAATACCCCTATCAAATTAAGCCCCCAAGTATGAAAGGGCCAAGGAGTGTGCATGACTTGCAATAGCATGAAAGCTTGTGGCTTATGTTGGCATGTATTTGGCATGTGTTGTACTAGGCTGCCATGCTCTGTAGAATTATTTAATAGAGCCACAGCTGCTGATCTACTTGCATGCGACTCATGACCCCACTAATCAAAGAGTGATTTGCGGCTCTTATGAGAGGTTACGGCAGCAGTCTCTCGATAATCTTGCTGATCAAATGAAGCCCTCGAGTGGCGTTCTTCCTCTTCACCCTTCCAAGCTTCCTGCCTATTTAGTTTGACTAAAATGCTTTTTTTCCTCACTGCTTCCAGCAGCCGAGAAAATTGGGTAATGCCAATATTTTCCGAATAAACTCTGTAATCTGCCACGATGTTGCTGATGCAAATTTTGACGAGCGCTTCTTCATCCTTCTCATCATAGCAATCTAGAGATAGGTCCCGGAACCTACGCACGAAGTCCACAGGATCTTCCTCCTGTTTTTGGCGAATGTTGTTGAGTTGAGTGGTAGTAACTCTTTCTTCATATTGGACGTATTTCTTAGAGAACCTGCTTGCCAAACAGAGCCTGGTGTCAACCTCATGTACCACGTACAAGCATGATCGGTAAGGCTTTTTGAAAATTTTCGAAGCTGGAGATTATAATCACCAACATGTGGTCCCAAGAAATCAATGAAACGGTTGACGTGCTTCTTCGGGCTCCCTTTCCTTTTGTCGAAAAGGACAATAGCAATCCAGAGATAGGTCCCGGAACCTACTCACGAAGTCCACAGGATCTTCCCCCTGTTTTTGGCGAATGTTGTTGAGTATTGGAAAATCTTACCGAGAACAAACAGAGCGTGGTGCCAACCTCATGTACCATGTACAAGCATGATCGGTAAGGCTTTTCGAAAATTTTCGAAGCCGGAGATTATAATCACCAACATGTGGTCCCAAGGCATCAATGAAATGGTTGATGTGCTCCTTCGGACTCCCTTTCCTTCTGTCGAAAAGGACAAAGCTTGGTGTCTCATAGCCATTAGGATATGGCTGCTGGAATAGATATGATGGATACGGCGGCTGAGGGACATACTTCCAATCTTCCTGGTTTTGGCTTAGTTTATTTTCCAGCATGGCGATGACATCTTCATGGGCGACAAAAGATGGCCCCTTTTGTTCAGACCCCCTTCCGGCAGCAGCACATTCCTCTTGGAGTGGTCCTTTGTTTTCTTTGCTTGGCTTGGAGACTGAACTTTTAGCTCGTTGATTGTGTTCACCATCCTCCTCTGGGTTTCCCCATGGCATGGAAGGCTGCAACAAGGTCTATGAGGGTGAAAGCTCCCTCACTTGCATGTTCTTCTTTTCTATTTGAGACATTTTGTCTTGACTCCTAGTCACCGTGGTCCAGCTCGTCTTGGGAAGTCATGTTGTCGCTTCTGGTCTTCTTTTTTGGAGGGATCGATGAAGATAATGGCCTAATCCCCAGCAGAGTCGCCAATTTATGTAGGGGACTTTTTCCTCTAGCAGCTGCAAATGGGCTGGGCTACTGTAAAAGGGCAGATTGATGAAATTGTCCTCTTTTCCTGAGTTCGAAAATTAAGCCCCAAAATACCTCGAAAGGGCAGTAGAGCCTTAGGAAGTATTTAGGTTACCTTCACCAACCAAAATAATGACAGCTTACAGGTAATTTCTTCATGCTTACAGATAAACTCTCAAGCTCAGCGTGAGTGGCATGCGGCATGGGAGCAAAATCAACATGAGTTTAGCACTAACAGAAAATTTAGGCTTGCTTTGAGGGAAAATGAAGTGTTAGGGTAAGGAAGGAGAAGTTTTGTAAGAGATTTGGCTAGGAAAGGGAAAATGAAGAGCAGAGTTCTTCCGGCAGCTGCCCAAAGAGCAAAATGGAGAACAAGATGAACAGTGCACGAGATTGCTGAGTTTTTGTAAGTTAGAGAGAAAGCTTGCTCTCTAGGTCTGAGTTGTGGCTAATGGTGAAGTATTTGGTGGTTTGAGTAAGTTTCCAGCAGCCTAACAAAAGCTATGTCATACTCTAGAATGGCATGGCAGAATGAAAAGTGGGAGGAGATGGAGGAATAGGGCACGAAATTGCAGAGATTTCATGGTGAGAGATGAAGCTTGCTCTCCAGATGTGGGTTCATTTCGTTGGGTTGAAGAGGCCTCAATTTATAGCAGTTGGAAACCATCATTTCCCAAGAAACCCTAATGGCTTCCATCCCATTTTGTCAAGTCTTTCCCTTCATTTCTCTCTTCATCCCTTCAATCATCATTTTTTGGTGAAATCTTCTCTGCCTATTTGCACAAAATCAGGGATTTTTTGGAGCTCAAGGCCCCCTTTCCCACGGCTGTTTCAGACTCCTATTTTCAACCATCTTTCTTCTTTCTTTTCTTTCCTCTTCCAAGGCTAGGTCTGATGAGGGAAGGAATTGAATATACATGCTGGTTCAAAGGGTGCTTCTGGCAGCTCGCATGCTAATATTCTTTGGTACTTTGAATGTTTCTTGCTTGGAACCTGCTCCCTCCATGTGCTGGAACCTCCAGACCTCCCTTTCCTGGCTTTTGTTCCTCTAGCTAGGTGCTGGTGCCTTTGTGGCCTATTATGGTGGGCCAAGATGGTTTATCAAGCAAGTGGGCTATTTAAAACATTTGAGCTTTTTAGTTGAGTCAATAGGCTATTTTGATTGGGCTTATTTTTGGTTGGGTTATTTTTGGTTAGGTTATTTTGCTTAAGCTATTGGGCTACTTTTCTCTCTTGTGCTCACCCACATGTTTGGGCCTAAGAAATGGGCTTGAGTCTCGAGGCTCCCAAGCAACCCAAAACTTACCATTTCTAGGCCCATCAATGGACCTCATGTTGATTTATTACCATCCATACCACAACCCACTCAAGCAAGCCCCGGGCATTCGAGTGGCTTGGGCCCACTTAGGCTTGTAGTGTAGCTGGGTGTGTAATAATGATTTCCTACTTGGCATGACATGTCGCTTGGCATGGCATATCGCTTGGCATGCTTTCAATTATTATGCTTGACGGGATAATTACCATGGATTTGTGAAGATAATGCATTTTATAATCTTAATCTCGATTCCTAACATGACGAATTATTTATTTGGCATGGCGCATGTGGTGTGACTCGTATATACGAGCATTCGTATATTCAGATATGTGATTTTTCTTAATACAATAGCGTATTGGACCGAAAACTTATTTGGACCCAACCGTGGACTTTTTTGGGCCTCAACACTTTTTAATATAATATTATACCTTTTGTTTAAGCCTCTATTCTATTGGATGTGTGGTTTGATATATGTGCCATGTCAGCATTTTAATAGAAAAATTGATGGAAACCAAGGAAAGGATAATTTTGATATGCGTAGGGTAATCTTAAGGACTACTAGAGCGATTCCAACGCCTTACCCTTTTCTTGGGCAGAGGGGAGGGGCCTAGGCCCAAAAAGGGTTTTCAACGGACAAATGCTGCCATGGCTGTTGGTGGGCTTCACAAGCCTGGGCTGGCCCAAAGGCAAGAATAGCATGAGTTGTTGCTTGGGTTTGCTGACGTCAGCAACAATTTTTATTTTTTTATATAAAAAAATCCCAAAAAAAACTTAAAAATTTCAGATTTTTAAAAAAAAATAAATACTTAGTCATATTATTTACTTCATACACCAAAACTTTATACAAATTCCTCTCCTCATATCTCATGTAAATAGTGGTTGCCGTGGCAATGGATAGAAACACCACAAGCATTTTGCAAGAGCTGTCACTATTTATATGAATAGTAACAGCCCTTGTCTTGCCCTTTGCCATGACAAATGGGTGGAAGTGCTCCTAGTGTCACAAAAAAAATAAAGGGTGAAAGGTGATAATTTCGCAAACCTCATAGACCATTCGTGATAAAAAGCCTAAAATATTGCTATTTTAATACGAGATAAATCTTCATACCAAAATGGTGAATTTTTTCAATTTTGATACAATTTTTTTTAGGAAGAAACTTGATAGAGATTTTTAAAAAATATATGAAATATATTATAGATATATTTTGAGGTTTTAGGAGAAGGAACAAATATGTAT